TCGGGGGGTGATTCGCGGTCTCAGGGCGGTGGTCGTTGAAGGCTTTCGGGTGGCTGTGGGCGTCTGTTTGCTGGGAAGAAAAGGATCGACGCGTGCGCAGTAGATCGGACGAACGTGGCGGCGATGGATCTCTCGAATGTGATGTCGATGCCGAGTTGGTGTTGAGCGACCGCATGTTGAGCAGGACAGAAGCCCAACCGGGTTGGAGTCACTGGACGGGATTGGATCTCGCTCGCTGTGTCTCTCTGCTTTCTCGTTCGTCGGCGTCAGGTCACACTTTCCTCCAGGCCTTTTGGGGGGGGGGGGCTGCGCTGCCGCCTTGCGATTCTGGGTGGTCCGGCCGCTGGCACCTGACTGGCCCGCGTTGCCGGGAGAGCCCGCTGAGTCGCTGTAATTTAGTGGTCCCTTGGCGCGTTCTGCACTGGCGGATGCACTGAGATCGGTGCACCGCAGGTCAGATACATGTAGCTTGGCGGGCAGTGGTGCATATGCAGGAAGGAGGTCAGTGAACAGAGAACAGCAGAACATTCGACAAGGACAATGGGGTTATGATTTCTTCTTCAGGGTCTTGACCAACTCCAACGGTTCCGCACTGTTTCCTCTCATCGACGCCCCAAAAAGTAAACAAGCCAAAAGAAAACATTTTGTTTCCCACCTCTGAGTGGCTCTCCACGTCACTCCGGGACCCCTCACTCGGGAATTCATCTCCATTTGCCAATGTTATTCATGCGTCGCTGCTGCACAACAAGGATTCCCTCCCTTCCGTCATTGCACTACCATGTACCTACACTTGCTACAGTACCTACAGTATGCTGTGGTGGGGCTATTGAACATGGGCACGAGATATACCCAGAGATCGAACATGGGGCCAGCAAGGCGAACAAGCGAGGCACAACGGAAGGACCCCTACGGTTTGGTGCCTGTTAGCTGTTAGTGCCCTTGGTGCCCCACACTACACACGGCTGAGTAATGCCCCTCGTCTGTGTGCATCCAACATCGATATCAAGGTCGACTTCGATTTGCCATCGTTCGAGTTGCCATCGTACTAGATTGACTACATCACGACAGCCTTGCATCGCCAGCACGCCCTCCACTCGCGCGCTCTCGCAGCGCCGCTCCTCCTTTCGAAAATGGGCTATGTCGGGTACACTCTCATTGTGGCCTCAGTCGTCTGGGTCCTCGTTGCACAGCCGCCATGGATCCATCCTTACCTGCCGCCATTTCTTCTCACATGTCGTCCACCACCGGCTTTGACAGGAGGTGACGCCTTGAAGCGCGAGGCACCCGACCATGACAAGCCAAAGAATGCTGGAACAGAGAGCATCGAGGAGTCAGACCGGGCAGCCGTGCCACCTCCGCCGACAATATCCAAAATCACCAATACACCCGCCGTGGCTGCCCCAGCTTTTGACATCTCGGCACCAGACGCCGACACCGAAGTCGAACAAACGACGCCAAAGGCCACAGCAACACCAAACTCGGTCGCCGTCCCTTCATTCTCCCTCTCTGCCGACAATGCCCCGGCAAACCCTTCCCTCTCGATGCCGCCGCCCGCAGCTCCGACCCCCACCTTCTCGATGCCCCCACCGCCGGCCCCCTCGCGCGCCATCCCACCCCGCCTCAACCCCCTCCCATCGTCCTCCTCCTTCCTCGGCGCCAACTCCCCCCAGCGCGCCCGCGGTCCGACTCCCAACCGCGGCCCCGCCCCCTCGTCCTCGCTCGCGCCCCCGCCGACACACTCCCAGGCGCCCCCGAAGCCCTCGCGCAAGGTCCTCCTGACGCCGGGCCACTCCCCGCTCGACTGGGCCCGCATCTCCGGCCCGGCCTGCGACCTGCGCAACCTGCCCGCCAACACGCCCTACCTCAAGGTGACGCCGTCCATGCTGAAGAGGCAGACGGGCCGCAAGGGCAAGGATGCGTGGATGGCCCTCGGCGGGCGCGTCTACAACGTGACGCCCTACGCCGCGTATCACCCCGGCGGCGTGCCGGAGCTGATGCGTGGGGCCGGCAGGGAGGCGACGAAGCTGTTTGGAGAGGTTCATCCCTGGGTGAATTACGAGACGATGCTGTCGGCTTGTCTCGTGGGCGTGCTGGTGCCGGAAGAGGAGGCTGAGAAGGAGAGCGAGATGGATCAGATGGACTGAGTGTTCAGCCAAGTCGCAGGGACGCATTTAGCATGATGGGAGCATTTTGGTTGTGAACATACGCAAGAGAGGAAGTGGGCAAGAGAAACGCCCCCGGTTCATGACTTCATTAGGCGGACTATAGAGAGATACCCCAATAGACGCGTGGAAGAAGGTCCAGCATATACCACGCAGTCATGCCCCTACCGCCGTCGGCCAAACTTAAACTTCAGCTCGTCGTCGCTCTCGTCGCTATCGCGAACCTCGACAATCTGTCGCACAGGCCGTGGCCTCTTGGCCGGCGGTTCACTAGACGCCTCCGCGGCAGGCCTCTTCCCCTGAGTCGTACGCCCAGTCGCCTGGCTGCGGCTCGACGTCGGCCCCGTGCTCTGCGACTCGGTCGCCGTGCTTCTGATGCCCCTGATCCGCGTCACCGGCGCAGCCTCAGCCGGCGTCTCCTCGATGGCCTCTTGTTCATCGCTGTCGTCTGACAGCACAATCTGCGTTGGCCGTGCCCGCAACGAACCTGTCGCCCTCGACGAGGGCTCAGACTTGGCCTCCTGCGACTGGCTGCCGCCGCTCTTCTTCTTCTGCTGCGTGTCGCCCTCGAGCCAGTAGTCGTCCCCGATGCCGAAGTCCTTCGTCTTCACCTCCGACACCTGCACAATGACCTTCATGACCGCCCTGCCCTGCGCGGCGCCTCGTTTCTGGAACCGCTTGAAGTTGCGCCGCCCGTTCCAGCGCGGGTCCCACCGCCCGTCGGCAATGTCCTGCTCGCGCGTGCGCTCACCGCCCGGTCTCCGCAGCTCCATCTCTTCCACAATGTGAAGGCGGCGGATGGCGTCGAGGTCAATGTCCGAGGGCAGATGGGCGAGGTCGTCGCGCTCCGCTTTGGCGCGGGCCTCCATCTCCTCGCGGCGCTTGCGCGCTTCCTCCAGGACGTCAATCTCCCTCTTGACCTTTTTCGGCGCCGGCTTGGGCTGCGCTGGCTCTTCGGGTTCGTCGGGCGAGGGCCGCCGGATCGGGTCCTCGCCGGCTTCAAGGCGCCGGCGCTTGGCGGCTGCTGCTGTGGGAATGAGGCCGTCCATGAGGTCTGCGGGAGTCGGGCGCTGGCCGCTTGCGCTGCGATCTGGTGGCGGGGCGCTTCGTCCCGACGGTCTTTGGGACACGAAAAAGACCTTTCCTCTTCGTCTTCGTCTTCTGCTTTCCGCGGCAGGGCCCGCTTGGCCTCGTGTTGTTTCGGTGTGGAAGCCTTGCGGCACAATTGCCCTTTGTCGTCGTCGTCAGGATTCGTCGTCGAAACCTTGCAACCGTCGAGTCGCTTGTCGTCTCGTGCGGCCACCTCGCGGTCCAGGCATCGAGGACTCCGAGACATCCTGCGATGGTGCATTTGGGGCGGGCGCAGAATCTGTCTCCATGGCATCGCCGCCTCTAGTCGCTGCTTGTCTCCGCGCTGCTCTGGGCGGGCTGTCCTGGACTGTTTCGGTCTGCAGAGGCCTCCGTAATATGCTGGCGTCCTTGACGAGAATAGCCTCGAGAAACTCATTTTGTTCAATGGGGCGGTGGTCCAGCCGAAGCGATGTCTCATAGAAAAACGACGCGTACCATTCAGTGTGGTCGCCCTTATCAGGGGTGAAGCGGACGACGACCACGCCGCGTCCTTCGCTCCCGTCCTCGAAAGACCCGAGGCCCTTCTCGCCCGCCTCCGTCTTGACAAACAGCACAAAGTCGTCCACGGTTGTCTTTTCGGGGGTGACCTCGGTGTGCAGCGCCTTGCCGCCGCCATTGGTGATCGGCGCCAGGAGGTTGTCATACTGGTTTCTGTCGTAAAAGATGAACGTGTAACCCTCAAAGATTTCTTTGCGCGCTTCATCCGGAGCGTACGCATCCGGCGGCCGTTCAACAGGCTCGCCGCCGCGAGGCGGTAGGTGCTCGAGAGGGTTCGGCCAGTAAGCCTGAAAGTCTTGCTCCAGAGCCGACGCGTCTGTTGCCTCGGTCCCGTCGGGCGGCAGCGCAGCGGCCACGATGGCGTCGACGAACGAGTCGGTGACGATGTACCGGCCGTTGATGAGCGCCTGCAGCCCCTTGGACGTATTCCTCTTCTTCGCCACCACATGTGTCGTGTGTTGGATGTTGTAGTCAAACGTGAATTTGATGTCGAGCTGTTCGAGCATGTCGCGGAGTCGGCGGGCCGGGTCTTCTCGCATTTCGCGGCTCGTGAAGCCGAAGCTCAGCACAACAGGGTGCCACGAGAGTCTGTTTCCGGCGCCGTCAGCAACGTCTTGGTTCTTGTCCGGCAAAGGAGCGGGGGCCCCTACCTGAAAATGTCAGGACAGCCTCCCAGCTTGATCTCCGCGGCATCGTTGGAGACGACATGCTTCTCCCCCTTGTACTTCTCGCCGTCGATCGTTGTGCCCGTCTTCGTCGCGAGGTCTTCGATGGTTACAGTGGATCGCTTCGAGATACTTTGCTGTTGGACCCTGTGAGTGACTGGCTACGACGTGCGTGCGCAGGCATGCCTCGAACGTACGCTGCGGCCATTGGCCACCGGCTCGATTTTGATGGTCATGTGTTTCCGGGAGATGGTCTTGTGGGAGATGGCAAGCTGGCCCGCTGCATCGCACATCAGTCACTATCAATCCATTCCGAGTCCTCGTGCTTACGTTCCGAGGCGGTGCGGCCAAAGAGGTAGAGCTTGCCGGGGCGAAGCCAGAGCTGTCGGCCTGTTTGCGCGATGGTCAGTCGGTCCACTCCCGTCGCACTTTGGGGGGGGGGTTCAGCTGGGCGCCATACCCTCGAAGACATTTTCCTGCTCCAAGAGCCACATGACGGGCAGCCCAGGTGCACCGCAAGATGATGCGCAGTGGGAATCCCAGCGGCAGGGCCGGTGGCGTGTTGCGCTTCGTGTTACGCTGGCAGTGCAATTGGTGGGGAAGTGGAGGGTCGCGGTTCGTGTTTGGTGCCAGCAGGAAACTGACGCCTGTTCACGTGTTTTGCGGAGCTCGCTGTCGTGCAGGGGGGCACTCGAACACAGCAATCAGTTGAGCGATTCAATGAGCTCAGCATTTGATCGGGGGATCTAGTGATTTTATTCTGATGCGGCGATTCATTCATTATGCATTTCGCGTTCTACGTCTTCAATTTGGCCGCCTTGGCCTGTGGTAGAGGAACCGCCTGGGCTCCGTCGCTAATCATGATGCCCAAAATCCAGCAGTTCACGAGGAAGAATCCCACGGTAGAGGCCCATAGGCCAGGGAAGAACGTGCTTATGCCGTTGAATTCCAGCTGGAACCCCTGCTGGAGCCACGCTCCTTGGGTGACGACCCAGAGAGCCAGCGCCGACATGCCTAGCGCAGGGTTCTTGAGGAAAGAAGAGTTGGGGAGGTAGATGGGCAGGAAGACCATGTACCACAAGAAGTACTGCTGCAGGTTAGCAAGGCCTCTGGCGCATCGTGGCCATCGGCATCGTGGCCATCGTGACATACCTGGCTCGTGCAAACCTTGTTGAAAGTCACAAAGGCGAACGTCTGCGCCATCATGGACGCCGCGAGATCCTTCTTCGCAACAACCAAAGGGATCAGAACGGTTGACAGAAGAATTTGCGGCAGGAAAGCCACCGACTCGATCTGCAGCGAAGAGGTGGAGGGAAAGGCTGAAGTCAGGTAGAGTAGGATGTTGTAAGGGCTGAAGTTGTGACGGTGGTCGATCCGCGTGACGTGGTGGAAAAACGTGTGCACCAGAAACGGAGTGCCATATCTGCGACCTGTCAGTTGCGGCTCATCTTCGTCAGAGCGTCGAGAGCTTACATGGAGTACATCAGAACGTTCAAGCCCATGAACGTGGCCAAGCTGATGATGGTCAATTTGACCCGCTCAGGACTGAAGAAACGCCGGACCAAATCAGAAACAGATCGTCCAGAGACAGGCTTCTTGGCTCGGCCCAGACTCTCGTCATCCATCCACCAGATGATGGCTGGTGCATAGATGAAGGGGTAAATCTTGAAATGGACGCCAAAGCCGAGCAACACGCCAGCCAGCGCAATTCGCCTCCCCAGCACCGCCCACAAAAGAGCCATCACAAGGACACCCAGAAGACCTTCAGAACTCCCGCGCGTGCTGATCGTGGCAACCATGGGGTTCAACAGCCAAATGCTGGCAAACTTGAGCGCTCTCGCCTCCTCCATGCCATGAGTGCCGCGGAGGACGCGCACGATCAGCCATCCCGCCAAGAGGTCCGCAGCAGCAAAGATGACCTTTCCGAATGAGAACCAAGCCGGACCGAGGGTTTCATTCCAGGCCGTAGGGAGGAGGAGCCATGCGAGAAGAGGCGTGTACCGGTAGGTCTCACGGTCGTAAGGGGAGGCGCCGCGCTGAGTGAAGCGGGCGGCGTCGGTGAAGACAAGATAATCAATGTCTGTGTACTTGAAGGGCGAATTGGCGTCTTGCCAGAGACCGTAGACGAGCAGCACGGCGCGGAGGATAGCGGCGGCTGTGAAAAGGGGGAGGGGTCGGAAGAGAGAGGCCATGGTGATTGACGGTTCACAGCTCCGACTTGGACTACTCCTGAAAGGCTATTTCTCATTCAAACTGCCAAGCCAATGGCATTATGTGCCACGAATGAGATTTGTCGATCGTGGAGTTTGTCTGTCTGTCCTTCATCAGACGTCCTCAGATACCGAGATTCGACCACCGCGTCGTGTTCAGATGATGAGTCAGCAGTATGTCGTCGCCCTTGCAGCTGCAGGCCGATCATCACTGCCCCACACTGAACGTCAAACTCCACAGCAGGAGAGGCTCACTGACAGGACCTCACTTTGAATGTCCTCTTTGACGTCAAGGCACCATCAGGATCAAGCTTCCTGACCGCCTCAGTATCGTCGACATGTCTAAGAGAGATCGTGACGGCAACACGCGGCCCAAGGACGGTGGCAAGCCGGGCCCTGCGATCGCCGAGTCACGCTTCACGCCCATGTTCATGGAGTTCCGCAATGAGCTTGATGAGCACCATGATCGCAAGGAGCGCATCGTCAAGGCGTCGCGGGATGTTACTGCCCTGAGCAAGAAGATGTAAACCCCCTTGGATAAGAATACTCTGTCCTCAAGCTGACATTTGATAGAATTTTTGCCTGCCAGAGGTACGTCGTCTCTCACTTACAACTCCTCTTTTTCATCAGTGCTCACACTTCACAGGGTAAACAGTCTAGGCGATTTGCCCAAACGTACTCGGGACGAGATCGATACTCGCATGTCCGAGATCAAGGACCTTCTCACACCCCTAGAGCCACACCTGACCCCGCTCAACCGCCACCGCTACGCCTCCACCCTCCGCGGCCTCGAGGAGCTCGTCGAGGCTCTCTCCTTTGCGCACTACCTGCAACACCAAACTCTCATTACCATGGAGGAGGCTGGCGCTGCTGTGCCGGCTGCTATCGAACTGACCGAGGACGACTATCTCTACGGCATCTTCGACCTCTTTGGCGAGATGATGCGGTTCGCGACCGTGACTACGGCACAGAAAGGACGGTTGGCGGGCCAGGACGAGGGAAAGCGAGATATCCTGATGGACTTTCACGAATTGAGCTCGGCGTTTGAGATACTACCCGAGATTCACGACCGGACGTACAGAAACAAGATGGAGGCCATGAGGCAGTCGGTGCACAAGGTGGAGAAGCTGGGGTACGGAATTGCGATACGTGGGTCTGAGAGGCCGAAGGGGTGGGTGCCAGACATGAAGGATGATGTTGTGATTGCTGATTAGATGTATTCACTTTGTCAGCGGACGTTATTTGTTCATGGTGTAGAAGCTCGACGGGCTGTATGGGGACTGTATAAGGTAGTTCTGATTTATCTCCAGTCACGCACGCCGGCGGAAACTAAATGCAGTGGGCAAAATTATCACGAATGTGCTCTGAACTGCAAAATCCCCTGATCCATTCTGTCATCTTTGCCCGTGAGTCTTTCGTCTTGCCTTGATTGAAATTCCCAGCTAGGCTGTCAGGGTGTGGTGACGCTCCCTGTTACCACTCGATTCCTTATCAAAGGCCCTGTAATGTCCCTCACAGCGCCGACAACCTTTGTCGAATCGCTGCTTGCTCCTTCTCGATGGCTTCAAGCTCTTCCAGCCTTGCTCTCCGCTCCGCCAACTCAGACTGTCTTCGTATCAGCTCCTGCCGCTCCCAGGCATCGCCACTCTCTCGTTTCGTGACAGGATGCGTCCCTGGGGACACGCACCGATATCCGTCGTCCAGCTCGTACCCAATTCCCAGCCGTAGCCCAGACAACGGAGAGACCGTATCGAGCGCGCAGTCAGGAGCAACTTTCGACTGGTCAGGCGAATGCACTGGTGGCGCGTCACTTGGCGTTGTGGTTTGTGTAGCGTCCATCTCAACTGGCGGCCTGACGAAGAAGCTATCATCGTCCTTCTCTACGGGTTTTGAGATGGCTGGGAGCTCTGCAAGCCCAGGGCCAGGGACTTGGCCATTCCAATCCCCTCCTGCAATGTGGCCGCTGGTTGCCTTGTGTGTTTGCTCGCCTTGCTGTTCACGTCTTCGGCGTCGGCGGCGGAGCTTCCAAAACCAGAAGAAACCCACGAGGGCGAGAATAATGATGGTACCAATGACCACGGGAACGATTATAATGACAGGAGGCCTTGTAGCGGCGTCGTCCTCTGCGGATTGCAAGGGCGAACGTGTTGGCTGGGAGTTCGATGGTGATGGCTGAGACGAGGAACCGGACGAGAACGAAGTCCCCGACGTGGACAAGGACTCTAACTCTGGGGTCGTTATGGTCTCGATGTTGGGGTCAAAGTTGGAACCCGCCATGGGATGCTCCGGAAGGTTGATGAGGTCGCTGGACTGCCAGCGAATCTGGTACGCCAACGCCGTGGACATTGATCGAGTCGCATGATACGTGCCACCGTTACTTGAGACACATCGATAACTCCTGCAAATACGTGCCTGTTGATCAGTTTTGATCACGGTCATCGAGAGGCGAGCGTGACTTACGTTGGAACACAGAATCCCACAGTCTCGTTCTCGTCAACGGGTTCGTCGTTGACCTGCGCGTCATTGGGACCCGCCGTGCAGCCGATGGAGTAGCTTTCCGGGCAAATTCCGGGCGAGTAGTATCCTCCGTTCACGAAAACGGGCATGTGGTTAGGAAGCCCGCATTCTTCAAAGTACCTCAGATTCGGCGACGGCGTGACAATCGCCGGACAACCTGACGGTGCCGTCCATCTTGTGTAGAGGGCAACAGCCCATTTCTCACAGTATCCTCTCGAAGTAATGGCGCACTCCTGAGACGTCAGGGTCCGCGGTGAGGTTGTGATCTTCCGTATAATTGTCTCCGTTTCCCCGAGAGCGACTTGCCTCGCACCCATGACCGGGGGTGGTGTCGCCTGTGCGAGCATGGCGGGAGGCTATTTTGGAAGAAACTGAGGAACGCCGGATGCCCCATTTGGGGACGGCTGGGTTGATAAACCGCTCTTGTTCACGCGGCATATCAGGTCAGGAGTGCTCGAACTCAGGACCGCCAAGGCGAGCGACCAACACAGGAGGTCACGGTTGGTTCGCGAGATGCATGCCGACCAATCAGGCATTGCATACCTTGTGATGGTAGACGAGGCAGCCCGTGCGATGTGACGACCTGGGACTGACAAGGTTTAGGGTCATGCAGGTTAATGATGAAAGAGGGACTGAGCCATGGTGACTTTGGTGATGGCGCCGGCCGTTTGGAAATGAGCGACTGTCAAAATATGACGGTACGGCTCGTTCCCGTCACTACATTGATTATGTGTGCGATCAAGTTTAATTTTGAAGGTAAGATCTACAGGCTAAAACAATTAGTCATAAGTGATGGGCCAGCCATTGCAAACGACATCGTAGGATGGAGATAGCACGACAAAGGAGACGGCCTAGATCGGCTACAGTAAGGTGCCTCATGGTAGGTAGATGGGCAGAAGAAGAAACATGGAAGTTGGCCTCCAAATCGACTCACCAGTTCCCCTGATCCACCGGGCAGAACATAATACCCTGCTCTGCCATCTGGTCTAGCTCAGCGGCACTGAGTGGTGACTGATGATCACGAGATGACAACCTGGACGACTCGACAAACGCCAGCTCAACAGTTGCAGGCCGCGTGCCCGACAGCCTCTCGAAGTATCGGGAGTCCTTGCGACGCAAAGGCGGAACGGGGCGCCCTGAGCCGATCATCGACTCGGCCAGCCCAGCGTCCATGTCATCATACCAATACTCAGGGTTGCAGTCAATGCCGATGTGACTGTCATCGAGCAGTGAATCGTGAGCCTCACTCACAGGCCTGTCAAGCTCGGCGATGAGCTTCCCGAAGCCGGCATCGTATAGGAGCTGATCCGCGCCATAATGCGTGAAGGTGAAAAGACTCCAGAAATCGGCCTTCAATACGTTTGGCACCCTCTCCGCCGTGACCACCTGCTCCGGAGATCCATCTTCGGCCATCCTCTGCAACAGCCAGAAGATGTCCCTGCCAAGGGTGCTCAAGGCTTTCGCAGGGACTTTTGGGTCCATGTACCTTTCTGCCAAGGTGTCTAGCAGCGCCGGCATGCTTGCGATGCGCGTTTCTGCCGGTCCCATGGCGATCCAGTCGAGTGGTGCGCCGGCATCAACGAATTGCAGCCTAACTTTGCGGATGGATCCATCTGAAAGAGGCACGCCAAAGCAGTCTGGCAACGACGGATGAACGATCATGCCTTGGGCGGCAGCCCAGCATTTGATCACGTCACGGGCGTACAGAGGGCAGGCAATACTGACCTGCGAGGGGAGGCGGGTGGTCAGGCCGTAGAAGGACAGAGCAGCGAGACCTCGAACGCTGTAGGAGACGTGGCTCAAAAGCCGACCGAGGCGATTGAGCAGCTCATCAAGGACAGCAGGGGGCATTCCCTCCGTTGAGAACGGCATGACACAGCGACCACATGTGTTGGGCAGACGAGGGAGGGGTTTATCGAGGTAGGCTTCCGTGTAAACAGGAGCAGGAGGTGCGGCTCGTGAAGGTCGAGGTGGTGCAGTGGCCCTGAGACTTCCAGAGCCAGCTGAAGAAAAAATAGGGGCAGGCCGTGGGTGAATGCCTTGGGGAGTCCAGGGGGCCGAAGAGGCGGATATCAGGATCGGGCTAGAGATAACGAGGTTAGCAGGTCGGCTGTGTGTCTGCTGGGAAGAGGTTGACTTGCTATCGCAGAGCTGGAGGAACCAGGAAGACAGTCGCTTCACGAAAGAGGTTTTCATAGCGTGCGGTTGATGCTGGTCACTGCCTTACTCTGCAAGTATTGATTGAGGATGCTTTAAGAAGGGGGGTGAATGTTCTTTGGAAAGACGGCATGAAGAAGGCTTGCCTGGGAATGAGACGTATTTAGCCTCATCGCACCGCGCCAGACAGACCGCTTGTGAAGACTTACTCCGTGAACAAGACCTTGTCTAACTGGCAATGTCGTGTGCCAGTGAGGCTCTTCGAAGGGAACAAAGACTGTAAACGGACCACACCAGGGTCTTCTGCAACGGATACTAGCCGTTCTCTTTGTTCAACCTTTGCCTGAACACACATCATTGAGTCCTTGACGCGTTGTGGAAAAGCAGCCTGTCAGTCTTCTGAAAGCTACCTTGATACCTGTACATGCATGGCGGGGACTCCATCCCATGGTTTTCTACCCCGTGCTGTCCAGCCCACCCCAACGCCTAATCATACAGTAGGCAGAGTCCTGGTATCTCGTCGAGAAGGCATGTCTATGTCATGAATCAGCCTCCGGACCCCGTCTACAGCTCCTCCTCCACGTCCATACGGTCCTCTGCCGACCGTCCGCTCGCGCCGGCCTCACTAGGTCTCGGCAACGTAGCCTCCTTGTCGATCATCTGGCGGTTGACCGAGACAATGTTGTCCTCGATAATCTGCTGGCCGACATCCTCCAAGTGCTTCTTCGGGTCGAGCTTGCCGACGTAGCGAGTCTTGAGCTGGTCCTTAGTCAACTCGGTCTCCTCCTTGACGCGCTTCTGGTAGCCCTCGGCCAAGCTGACGAGCTGCTCCAGCCTGTCCTTGTTGTTGCAGCCCTCCACCCTGAAGTCGTCCATCTGCAGCGCCTCGGTCCAGACGTGCTTGTGCAGGTTCATGAGCATGTTCTCCTCCAAAGCCGTCTTGCGGTAGTTGATGCCGATCGAGTAGTAGTGCCTGTTGAGGCCGTGGATGAGGGCTTGGATCGAGGGCTTGTTGAGGTGTCCCAGGTTGCTGGTGCTCTGGCGTGGCTCTTGGCCGAGCATCAGAGACTGAGGGTTGATGAGGCGGAAGGCGTCAATGACGACCTTGCCCTTGACGGACTGAATAGGATCGACGACGACGGCGACGGCGCGCGGGGTGAGCTGCTCAAACGACTGCTGCGTGTTGATATCGACGGAGGAGAGCCAGCAGCCAAAGCCGGGGTGGGAGTGGTACCAGCCAACGACGGATTCGGGCCTGCATGGCGATGTGAGCGGGGGCCTTCAACGGGGCACAATCGCATTCCGTGGTTCTTACCTTCCCGTTTGTCGCAGCATGTCCATCATCTTCATCTGGAATACGGGGTCGACCGCCTCGACGGAGACACCGGTACCGCTTTGCGGCATGGCGAAGACGTCCACAACGCGCACTGTGAAATCGTCGACGAACTCGCCCAGCATCAGGCCCATGACTTCCATGGGGACACCGGCGCGACCGTGACGGAGCATCTTCAGGAGGGCGAGGGAGGAGATGTAGACGGTCTCGGAGTTGTCGATAAGCTGTGCGTTATCCTGGGGGTGCATATGTCAGTAAGGGTGGCGACAAAAAGCCACGATCTTGCATTGTCATGGCAGCGGCGAGCTCTTACACTTCCTGGCTGGGAGCCCAGGCCTCCCATGCCACCCGACTGGAGCATACTCCTGAAGCGATCCATAGCGAATGTACGGCGAGGTTGAACTAGTTGTCTTGGGAATGTGTACGGGTGGTTATATCGTCAGGGTATCGTGGAGGGTCGGACTTTGTGGTGGTGAAGGCGACGAGGGCGAGGGATGGAGGGTGATGGAAGCTCTTGGGGCCCTGGCGCTGGTGATGGTGCTGAGTGAGGCAAGACGATGTTGACGCCAGCTCGAGCAGCCTGGCGAAAACCGGGGCGGTGAGCTAAGCTGTGTGTGGCTGAAGGTGTGGCGTCACACAGCGGAGCTTAGCGGGGCAAGTATCACAGCCAGCTTGTGAACGGTCAAGAGGATGGAGTAAATCAATTCAACAATTGACAACAGATTCAAGGCTTGCCGTGAAATATTTGGGGACTAGGGTATCCTGCACCGGAGACAGGAAGTCACTCTTGGGAAATAGTTCAGCGATGTCTAGAGGCCCTTCATCACCCAGCATCTCAGTGAAGACCCCACCACACCCTGTCTTCAGTAGGTCTTCAGTAGAATGCATCTGACAGCCAGACAGGCAACTGGCTACCTCTTCCATTATTACGTGCCTCGAGAGGTCACACTGAGCTAGGGCCTTCAACAACATGAGATTTATTCTGCTGTACATCGGAAGAAGAACATCGCCACGCAATGTCCGATGTAAATCAAGTCTTGCAAGCTTCGAGCTCCATGAGCTGCCACAGCCATGAGGCTACACCCAAACGCCAGCGACACTGATCGCCTCTCGCCTGACTCTGGCGCTAGGCTCCATACAGATGCTGTTCGATACCTTGTTAGCGAACAGCCCTGGCAGAACAAGGCCAAACAACAGGCCCAAGCCGATGATGACCAAGCCGACAGCACTAGTGCCAACAGTGCCATTCCCAGCCCCAGCCTGAGCCACACCTGGGCCGAGCCTTCCTTTTCCCTGGCCATTGGCCAGCCTCATCTGGCCCACCGGACGGCTACGCATCGCATCGAATACCTGCGACCAACAAACCCAGAAGACCTCGATGCTCTCCCGCAGCGAGCTTCCTTCAATACTGCCCTGATACCCCCCAACGAGGGCCCTGTCGCGCAGAAGTCCGTGGTAGCTTCACAGTAGGTTCATAACCCCAAAACTTTATTCATCAAGGTCCCTAGGCACTGTTGATCATGTCCGCGAAACCTTTGTTCGCGCTTCAACCTTGTCTCCCCTGTTGTTGTCCCTCCTTTCCGTCAATTCGGTTCGTTCTACGGCGCATCCCCAAGCTGACCTTTTCTCAGCAGAGGCGCCGTTCTCGTCAACGACACAAACATCAACATGTCTCCCTTAGGCTCTGTGGCCCTCAATGGGTCGACGGCCTCGTCGACCAAGAAGGTCGCCTACTTTTACGATTCCGACATTGGAAATTACGCCTACCCGACCGGCCATCCCATGAAGCCCCATCGTATTAGGCTTGCTCACAGCTTGATCATGCATTACAACTTGTTCAAGAAGATGGAGATCTACGTAAGTTGGCTCTGCATCTATGGCGCAAGACTTTAGTTGACAAGCCTCTGTACAGCGCGCGAAGCCGGCAACCCGCGGCGAGATGACGCAGTTCCACACGGACGAGTACATCGACTTTCTCCAAAAGGTCACGCCCGACAATATGGATCAGTACCAAAAGGAGCAGAGCAAGTTCAACGTCGGCGACGATTGTCCCGTGTTCGACGGTCTCTTCGAATTCTGCGGCATCAGCGCTGGCGGCAGCATGGAGGGCGCTGCGCGCCTCAACCGCCAAAAGTGCGACGTCGCCATCAACTGGGCCGGTGGCCTGCACCACGCCAAGAAAAGCGAGGGTAGCGGCTTCTGCTACGTCAATGGTAACCTCTGCGCCTCCAGCTCGTCTCTCTTTGCAGCGTGCTGACATGACAATCAGACATTGTGCTAGGCATCATCGAGCTCCTGCGTTTCATGAAGCGCGTCCTATACATCGACATTGACGTTCACCACGGTGACGGTGTCGAGGAGGCCTTTTACACCACTGACCGCGTCATGACGGTCTCCTTCCACAAGTACGGCGAGTACTTCCCCGGCACCGGCGAGCTCCGCGACATCGGTATCGGCCCGGGCAAATACTACTCGGTCAACTTCCCCCTGCGAGACGGCATCAACGATCAGTCGTACAAGTCGATCTTCGAGCCTGTCATCGAGCACGTCATGAAGTTCTACCAGCCCGAGGCTGTTGTTCTGCAGTGCGGTGGCGACAGTCTCTCCGGCGATCGTCTCGGTTGCTTCAACCTCAGCATGGAGGGCCATGCCAACTGCGTCTCGTACGTCAAGAGCTTCGGCCTTCCTACCCTGGTACTCGGCGGCGGTGGCTACACCATGCGCAACGTTGCCCGCACGTGGGCCTTTGAGACTGGTGTCCTGGTTGGTCAGCACATGGAGCGCCAGCTCCCGTACAATGAATATTACGAAGTGAGTAGAATATGTGCTTCCCATACCTGGACTTGATTGCTGACATATGCAGTACTACGCCCCCGATTTCGATCTCGATGTCCGGCCTTCCAACATGGAGAATTCCAATAGCGCAGAGTATCTCGAGAAGGTTAAGGCCGCCCTCATCGATAACCTCCGACACACAGCCCCCGCTCCCTCTGTCCAGATGCAAGATGTGCCCCGTCAACCCTTTGGCGGCATGACGGAAGAAGAGGAGGCTGAACTCAACGACCTGGACGAGGATGAGAACGCTGATACCCGTATGACGCAAGATCGTTGGGACAAGCGCGTGCAGAACGACGCCGAATTTGAAGAGAGCGAAGACGAAGACATGGACGCTGCCAACGGCATGACGCGACCTCGTGGAGCAAAGAAGCGCGCCTTCAACGACTTTTCAAAGGGCGAGGAGGAGGCCAACAGCACCGCCCCAACCCCTGTCAACGGAACGAGTGCTGAGGAAACTGCTGATGCTGAACCCATCGAGGATGCCGATGTGACCATTGAAAAGCCCGCCGAGGAGGACGAACCTGTGGAGAAGGAGGCAGCTGCCGAGAAGGAGGCGACGCCAAAAGAGGACCAGCCAGCAGTGGATGGAGACGGTGATGTCGGCATGGACGATACGGCCGATGCTGCGGAGACGACCACGATCAAGAAGGAGGATGTCGAGCCCGAGGCGGCCGCCGAGACAGAACAGACCAGCAAGCCGGCGTCACGCAAGGCCACGCCCGAGAAAGCTCCTGCTCCTGCTACCGAGGAACCCACCAAGGAGGCCGAATCCAAGACTGAGCCCGAGACGACTGCACCCGAGTCTGAGAAGACAGACGAAGCGCCCAAGGAGGACGAGGCGGCCGACAAGATGGACGTGGACGAGGAGCCTGCCAAGGAATCCAAGGCCGGCGAGTCGTAGGGGCTCTCTCCTTCTGCGGACCACTCTGTTTCCGTTGCGGCAAGGTGTCTGGTTATAGCTTTGGGCGTTGGGTGGCTTACGGTTTGGACGAACGGGATTCGGAAACGGACAACAATGTTTGATGTGGGAGGTGTTTGACTCGGACCCGCCTGCTTTTTTCTGCTCCGCCTCGACGGGGTTTGTACAGTAACGCAGGGGTAGACTCAAGTCAGCCTTGGTTGTATCTGCGAGTGTTTGGCAAGTGATTTGAGAGGTTGCTGTAGACAGCACAGATTTATGTTGCTATCTACCACATGCTCGACCAGAGAGACATTCAAACCTGCACCCTGGTATCTGCAAGTCGGCCAATTACCCATCGTTGATCTCACGCCAAAGCACCCAATCATCTGCTGGGAGTCCCAAGGGCGGAAGTCGGTCACTGATCTTTGTCAAAATGTAATTATTCAAGCTTGCTATAGTGCGAAGGCTTGAGATGAATATGAGAACAGAAAAATGTTGAGCAATTGGGGACGCATGGCATGTCTACATATTGCCATCCAGGTCCCGTTCTGGCTTAAATGCATGATTTGACAAGGCCCTTTGGGCGGCTTTCCTCCGTTTAATCGAAATCTCTACCTCTTCAGATTTGAACATAAAATATGTTTGAGAATAGCAAGAAAGGAAAAAAACAACCACGAAATCCGCCTTGTGTGGCAGAGATGTATGGTTCAAGTTGGCTGTGAGGAATCGGGAGCCCACTCTGAGAGCCAGAAGCACCCGATTGTAAACGCCTGTCACCAACCGCGATGGCAATTCTGCCACTTCCCGCACATAAGCTCAGTTTCAGCGAAACGTTCACACTCGGCATGACCATCACCATGCACCCGTCCCATAATCCATACCCTCATCAAGACAAAGCAGGCTTACCAATCTCGACATGTGATGCTTCGACAGCAAGATCATCACTGCCAACTTGGGATGCTTCTCATGATTGGCGAGGGTCCGTTGTGGGCTGTCTCAGCACTCCAATTGAATGCATGTCGCTGACTGGACGCTTTACTAGGGATCGCATTAGCTCTTCTGCCTGGCGAGACGATCGACTGAGAGCTTCTAGAAGGCCGCACACGGCACTTTGCGATCGTCGCAAAGGCAGATTTCCACAGTCAGCGAGCGGTAGTATGAGGTGGTCACTGGTCACAGGTCACAGCCTGACCGAAGAACAGAGACAGGCCATTCGCTCTTCGGTCGCTTCGCCTTTCGCCGTTTGCCATTCGCCCCTCCCGCGCCCCCTCTTGCCGTCCGAGGCCGATGTGTATCGTCGCGAAGTGCGGTGGTACCGATCCAACTGGGATGGCGCTCTACAGGCCCCGCACCCACTTCCTCCAGCCTGGCCCCTCTGTTCTTGCGCTCCCCCGTTGCCCCTCCCCTCCCCCCTGCTTGTTGCTCGTGCCCCGGCAAAAAGGCTGACAGAGACCATATCGGATGACAGCCTATCACGAGGGCCCGTTGGTGGGTTTGACGATCGTCGAAGCGCCTGTAATGAGGTGCCTGGGCAGAACAGACAGGGCACTGCCACCTCTACCGCCACGATCACAAGGGGCGGTACATGTTGATCCCCTCAGCCCTACACCGCGAGCCATATAGCGGTACCTGTTCCTTTTTGATCCTCCAAGATGGCCGCAGGGCAGGCAGCACCCGCCGTGATTACCTGAACTCGACCCTCGATCGTCACTTCCTCCTGGAGCCAGATAGACCCTTAAAGCTTTCACCATCCCTCCTCCGGGCCCTCTTGCCCCGTTTGACACTGCCGGCCATCGAACCCCTCTTCTGTAGTACACCTCGCCATAAGACACCATGCAAAAGAGGAAAACACACAACAAGTCACGCCGTGGGTGTGTCAACTGCAAAAAGAGACACGTCAAGGTCCGAATATCAAACAGTCTCTCCAGTCTGCTGCCATCGTACTGACCGATCTTAGTGTGACGAACAAGGCCCGCCGTGTGCCAATTGCGTTATTCGCAAGACGACATCGACCTGCTTCTACCCAAAATCTGCCAAAGACCTTGCTCGTGATACCATCAAGGAGATCTCCATCCGGCCCAAGTCGGACACGTGCAAGACGCGAGGGCCCTCTGTTGTCACGGTCACGTATCATGGCTCTTCCAAACCTGAGGACACATCACAATCCGTCGTCCACCGATCATCACAGTCACTATCAAAATCCATGAGCCCTTCGCCCGCCGCCTTTTCCAGCATCTCCTCCAACGAACGCCTCCTCGAACTCGAGCTGATGCACCGCTGGTCGACCCGCACTTGGGCCGTCCTCTACTCCATACCAGAAGACCAGCCCTTTCTCCAGGTCGTTCTACCCCGTGCTGGTCTTCGCCATGCCTATGTCATGAATGGCATCTTCGCCATTACCGCCCTCGACCTCGCCCGAGAGCGGGGCCCCACCGAAGCACGTGCGTACCGTCGAGCGGCCCTCGAATACAGCAATAAGGCGAGCGTCGACTTTCGATCGAATCTCAGTGATATCACAGCCGATAACATTTGCTATCTCTTCTACTTTGCCATGATCTCCGCCTTCTTCAACTTTGCCATGCCTCCCTTACCGACCGAGCAACTCACCTGCACCGACCGCATCATCATCGCCTTTGATATGATCCTCGGGGCCTCGCGCATCGCCTGGACAAACTTTGACTGGATGATCCAGGGCCCTGATTCGACGAGCATCGTCATGGAGAGATACACTGTCGACCTGAACCTTGTCAACGAAATTGACGGCGATACCATGATCGCCCTGAGCCACCTCTCCACCGTCGTCCGCGAGCTGCGCCAGCCTGGACCGGACGGCACCCCCGGCAAGGGCCCTATTGCCAACGAGCTCTGGGAGTACCAGCTCGCCGTCGGTCAGACGAAATATTGCTTCGCTGAAGAGCGCCTCAACCGCCTCAAGTGCTACTACCTCTCCCTCATCACCGTCGCTGGCGTCGACTTTGCGACCCGTCTCCGCGCCCGCGAGCCCATGGCCCTGTTCATCATCATGTACTGGGCCATTCTGCTGCATCGTGCCAACGACGACCCCATGGTGTGGTGGTCCACAGCATGGATGAGCAAGAGTACCGTGGGCCGTGACCTTGTGGCTGAGACGTCAGAGGCTTTGATCCATTCACCCATTGCCCAAATACCCGAGGGGAGAAAAGGAATTGCGTGGACGAGGGACCAGGTGGGGTTGGCGCCGCTCGAGGGGTTTGACCTGTACGAGAAGCCAACAACGTTAGAGATGGAGATGGTGTTCGGAGATGGGTCCTTGTCGGATGCCAATTTGATTGAAGCGTAGATCTTTTTAGAGCATATACCCCGGCATTTCGACGGCACTTTTCATGGGAGATTCAGCATATATATGTATACCAGTGACTGGGCGACAGAACTTGTACTTGAAGGAAAGTCCCCTTCCTCACAGCACCGCGTCCATGATATCAGTTCCCAAGAAGTAATCCATCGCATCTTGACTCTCCATGAATGACCGTCCAAAGTCGTCGTCATCAAAGTCGTCGTAAGCTTCCCTCTTGTGCAACAAGTTCATCTTGTCCACCTCCTTTCGCACATCAGCCCACTTGACACCAAACGGCGACCCCTCGCACACCTTTCCAGGCGCTGGCATCGTCCCGTTGACCCAGTAGTCCCTCAGATGCAAAGCCGCGCAGACAGACGGCACACTAGTCGAGCAGTGCTACAAAAGGTCAGCATACACTTGCAAACGCCAAAAGAAAGAAGAAAAAAAGAGATCATCATGGAGAAAAAAGACTCACCCCGGCGCCCGCAACCGTGAGCAGCTCGCTGCCCCCGAGCGCAGCGCTCGCCTGCCGCGCCGCCTCGAGCGGCGTCCGCGGGTCAAGCTCCGAGCTCACGACGAGGACGGGCGTCCGCGTCGTCACGGCAAAGTCGCCGTCATACGCCTCGCGCGCGCGCCACGGCCACTGCGCGCACGTAGCGCCCATGGCCGCGAACCGGGCGCCCGAGAGGCGGCTGCTGTTGAGCGTGGCGGCCATCTCGGGCGCGAAGGCCGCCAAGGTCGGCGTGCGCTCGAGCCTGTCGCCGCACCGGATGGCGATGTGCGCGCTCAGGAGGGCGTTGGGGTCGCCGGCGCTGCTGCTGATCGCCAGCGACGGTGCGGCGGTGTCGCCGGCGCCGTCGCGGGCCGCTTCGTATGAGTCGGACCCGCGCACGGCGAGCAGGCTGGCGAGGAACTGGAGGTGCTTGGGCCAGCGAGCCCTGTTGGTCAGCGTGTTGGACGTCAGGTGGATGGCCTTGAGGTAGTCGATCGTCACTTTGATGACTACGGGGAACGGCATGATGGCCCCGGCCATGGGCTTGATGGCGATGACTGCGGGCTGGACTTTGAGGTCGTCGATGCGCCGCCAGACCTTGGCCGAGAGGTCTGCTGCCGTGCTGCCATACTTGGCGAGCGGGCATTTCGTCTCGCCGAGGGTGAAGCATAGTTCGAGCATGGCTGTTAGCACCTTGTCGGCGTCCATGGTCATGTCTGGGTCACTTGGGCCGCGGTACCACTTGTGGGGGTTTACGACGCCGTCGAGGACCATCCTGTCGATGCGGTCCGGGAACATGGCTGCTGCTGTGGCGCCAACGATGGTACCGTAGGAGTATCCTTTCTGCCAGTCAGGTTTCTCTCACTTTGACCCTTTGTCTCGGAATGAACTCTGGGAGGGACACAGGAGGGAACTCACCCCAGTAGCGAAGCAAACCGTCCTCGGCTAAAGCATCAACAACCTGCATCGTGTCGCGGACGAGCGCTACGGTGCCTAGAAACTCGGCGTCCTTATTACCCGTTGATTGCTTCGCGCATTGAGCAGCTACGGCGCTAGCTCGCCCCCAGATCTCTTCGAGGGTTTCGTTCGGCTTTTGCTGTGAGAGCATGGGACCGATGGCGCCGCACGTGAAGGGTAAGGGGCCGGTGCCGCTGTTACGCCATTAGAAGCGTTCTCTGGGGAAGGAGTTTGATAGGGGCAATTACCGTGGGTCAAAGGTGACGAGATCGTATTCATCTCCGCTCATCCTGGGGAGTAGTCAGAATCGGCGCTACATCGCGGGCCTCCAGAATACTGACCATTGCAGAAGCTCAGAGTCGGTCGAGATCTTGGACCTCATCGGCAGACCTGGGCCTCCTGGATTGTACAAGATGGAGCCGCGCGAGGGCTGTTTCTTCGCCTTGGCGCGGACCAGCTCGATGGTCACCCGTTCTCTGGACTTGGGCGTGGTGTAGTCACGGGGCACCTGGAGCGAAGAACACTCGATTTCCGCCTTGCTATATTTGGATTTCCCGGGGTTGCAGGTCTTCCATTCGAGAGACTTTTTCACCGCACTGGCGGATATTGGCTCCGTCAGCGTGAGGGAAGCAAGAAGCGCTAACAGCAAATTCGAGAGGCCCATGGCTGCGTATGACAGGTTGTCGGATGGACAATCTGTGTTCTACAGATGTCGGACAACCGGCGGCAAACATCCTTAAGTAAGGGAAGGAATGAATAGACTTTTCATGCCAGCAAGGTGCGGGAGATTCTCAGATAGCCCCGTGTTTAAGCATACAGAGAACCAAATGCTAGGATATCAAAGTTGAAAGGCTGCCGACTGTATGCAGAGTGTGCAGATCATTCAGGTTGCACAAACTATAAAGGTGACTTGACTAAGATTTGAAACATGTTGCCGGAATGCCTCCCACATTTCATCATTCATTCATTCAGTCCTATTGTATGCCTGATCCGTAGCCCTTTTACCTTAGCAGAACCCGTCGTGACTTGATCCGCAATCAGCAAGATCCAACCGGTCCACCGGGTGGGCTGCAAAAACTTTATGTCAGCCATCATGGAAAACCACCTGGAGGGTCATCTTTTGGCACTGGTGCATAAAACTCACGTATACGAGGTTGGAACAGGGTAATAAATGTTGAGTAGCAGTCCAGGGTCGTTCGCGTTGTAGGCGCCGGGGAAGCTGAGGAGACGTGCGGGCTTGTAACCACCGGAGCCACCAGAGACTCGAATCTGACCACAGCTCAGACTACATCACATTAGCGACGATTGATTCTCCAGGAAGACCTTTGATCAAACTTACTAGAGCTGCGCGCCGCCGGAACTTGAGGCGGAGTGCAGGGCAATGTGCTCAAATCGCACGAGGTACTCGCCGTTGTCGAGGCAGCGGGGCAGCGGGAAGCTCACGGAGCCAGCATCTTTCGTTGCGTCAATATTTGGACACGAAATATCGGCGGTTCTGTAATTACATACTCATGTTGGGCCAGCTGATGCCACCGGAAGAGATGGACGCATTGTCCTGCCAGACTTTGAACCAGACTGCACCCTGGCCGTTCCATGTAGCTGCGGTCTGTCCGGAAGGAACACGAGCCAGGTAAGCGATCGCAGGGCCAGGATGAAAGATAGGAGGGCTGGAAGTGAAGGCTATAAATGCAGTTAGCTTGGTAACACGATCTAACGAGCCATCAATTTGAGAATAACCCACAGACGGTGTTGCCAGCAGTGACAGCTAGAGTTCCAGGCGCCCCTCTGCCCGGGCTCAGTTCGTAGCAGGTCATCTGAGAGCTGGCCACGTTGGTGATAGGACCAGTCGTCTGGTAGTTCGCTGTTTGGCGGACATTCTGCCAGTTCGCCGAGCTTTGGCCGCCAGATGAGATGGCAGGGAAGGTGTCTTGAGGATATTGTTAGGTTCGCACAACATGTCTAATCAGATTATCATCCTCACAATGAGCCGAGGCTACCTGTAGGAGGGACACAGGCAAGAGAATCGAGAAGAACTTCATTTTCTTAGTCGGAAGTAATTCAGAACTTGTCAGATGATCAAACTTCAAGGAGGTTCGTTGAATCAATGTATTTGAGGTGAAAGTGAAGAAGGTAAATCCACTTATAAGCCGTCCGAACTCCCTGTACACGAAAACAACGGTCTCTGCAGTGAATCCGGGGTACGCATGAACCAGACGTCTATCGAGTGCGGTTCGGTTAAGTGCAGCGGCTAATATCTCCAAGCCAACCAAACGCCATCCATAGCTGACAGTCGTCACCAGAAGAGCAGGTAAGCCACGCGGGGTGCTTTGCAACGAATCCAACATGGTATCTCATAGTAGACATAAATGAAGTCAAATTGCGGAGGCTAGGGGTCCGCCGCGGCACTCCGCAAGCACACAACTATCTGTTTTAGTATCACCTTGGCTCTGCAATGTTCCGAATACTGGCAGCTCAAAACACGGGACCCCGGAACGTAATTTGGCAAAGGCCTGACGCAGCTGCCTATTGCAGCACCCAAGCAGTTTGGTTGAATCCGGCAGAGTAGCAACCCCCCGCACGGCAGTCAGTCTTGGGCTTGCCGAAGTCATGCACATGAGTCTAATGGACGCGAGAATGTGATACAACTACCGGAACGCTGTCTACTCATGACGCTAAGAAGAACCTGGTTCTCACTGCACGCGTGGGATTTTGAACCCTCCAGAGACCCTCGGCTGGAAGAATCCCTTCGGATCATATTCAGCCGCCACTTTCTCCAGCAACTGAAACTTCTCCTCGCCAAACGTTGAAAAGGGGTCCTGCGCCGGACTGACATAGTTGAGGTACCTCCACGTAGTTGCTGCGTCCTTTGACTCGGCGTAGGCCCCAAGCTCGGCCGTCAACGCCGCGAGCTTAGCAAAGGCCACGGACTCCTGCTCGAGAATCTGCATGGAAACTGACCGAGCCAGATAATCGAGCCGTGCGTCAAAGACTTCTTCAGGCCAAGCACGTTGTTACCATTCCCCCTGTTGGCGAAGTGCTTGGAAAGGGCTGGATGACAAAGTCTATGCCAAGTTCGGGCCACAAGCTCGTCAGGTCGGCCACAAAGGCATCGCAAAGCGCAGATATCTTTTTCAGGACATCCATGTTGTTCTGGAAACAGATAAGAGAACCACACACTCCTGTTATTTGTTAGCGAAACAGCGCAACCGTACCTGAACTGCGCTGCACACATAAATGGCACCTCCTGGGGTGGCAAAGTCCGTGATGACCTTGCCATATGTCTTCCTGCTGCGGTCATCCAGCACAGGCGTCAACTGATTCAGCGGAGCGAATGAGGTCGAATCCTCCACGCCAGTCGTGTTAATGCGACAACAGCGATTATGGGCGCACCCGACCCCCCATAGGTAAAGGCAATGACCTCTGTGTCCTTGGGTGGCTCGTGGTTGATCTCAACAAGCCTCGAGGATTGAGCCAGAATGGCGTCCCTGTCATCGCAAGTTGAGAACAATAGACCCCCGTACAGGCCACCCTTTGCATCTTCAAAGGTCTGCAAGTCGAAGCGCGTGACGATGCCAAAGTTATTGCCTCCGCCTTTCGAAGCCCTGTGAAGACCGGGGTTCTCCACAGCATTGGCATTGGCAATGGTGCCATCCGCAAGGACAATTTCATAGTTCACAATGTCGTCGCACGTGAAGCCACGCTTGCCGGTGTGGAAGGAGGCACCTCCCCCGAGAGACAAGCCACCAACGCCGTATCCCAAGGGCTCATACAGTGTGCTCATCATCAAACTCAGATATGTTGAAGACTGTACATCAGAGCTCTCTCATCGCCGTGGAGGATGTTGCTGACTGGTCGACAGACACATGGAAACTCGCCCTCTTCTGGATCTGGGCCGAAGCGGAACCTAACGCCACCATCGTCGCCGCTTCGATTCCGGTTCTCCGTGATCTCGTTCGCAACGTGCGCAGCGGTCGCGGCCCCTCTGCGTACTCCTCCGGACAGTACATCAGGTCCGATACGTTGAGCAAGTTTCAGGCGCCGAGCAACGCTGAACACAGCCGACGATGAGGGGTTCCGTTGAGCAAGGGCGATGCCAGCAGCGACCGGAGCATGTTACCCCGAGAATTGGAGCAGAAATGGGGCATCACGAGGACGCGGGAGGTCACTGTCGAGTACGACTCGAACAGCCGCCAGTCACACAGGGCGGGAGACGAGTCGGAAGAGGGCATAGAGCTGTCGGATCGATAATCGCCTCCACGGCGCAGGACGAGCGTGATGGGTATTAGAGGAGACAAAGATGATGGCGGCAAGGGAGAAAAAAAAAGACAATTAATGAAGGATCAAAAAGGGTTCAATTCAGTCCTAAACCAACTCCGAAACCCAATGCTCCACGACATCCACGAAGCCCTCCTTCCATCGCTCGTCATGTCTCGTGAACTAATGATACAAAACTCCCCAAGCCAAATAACAATGAGAACGAACACAAGATTTCTCGGGCTTCCCCTAGGCCGGCGCCATGTGGTGGACGCAGCAGGTCCAGTCGCCGCCAGCATTCTGGCGCCAGACATCGGTGCAGATGGCCTCGGTGGGCTTCATGCGGTCCTTGGCGTCGCCGATCTGCTGCCAGACGGTGACGCGGTAGGTCAGCGACGTGGACATCATGTCAATCTCGACAAAGTCGGCGTCGTCGGCGTCCTGCATGCGGTAGGCGGTCCAGGGCTCCATGTCCTCGAGGTACTCCTCGAGCGAGGGCTCCGTGTCCTTGGAGACGAGGGTGCCGTCGACCTGGACGAGGATGGCGTCGTCGCCGAGGTACTTCTTGAGGGACTTTTTCGGGTTCGAGTCGCAGAGGGCGCGCCACAGGAGGGTCGTGGCCTCGATGGTGTCGTCGCGGTTGCGGTGGTAGATGTTGTTGGGCTTGGACATGGTGGTGGTTGTGAGGGGCTGGCGTGGTGGTGGTGGTGGTGGTGATGGTGGGGGAGTAGCTTCAGGGGTCTTTAGAGGGTTTAGGGGTCCTCTGCGTTCGAGAAGGTACCTAGGTAGCTCGGGTTGGAGGTTGAGATAGGTCGATGTAGCGGGGATGGAGGAAGCGACGTGATGGTTGTCGAAAAATCGCAGTTCATTCAAAGAGAACGAGAAGCAACAGGATGTAGCCTCCCGGGCTCCATCTTCCTTAAAGATGCCCGCTGCCCGTATGATCTCACTGGGATTCTGTCGCCGTGAAGTTGGAAAACAGGGTGGTGAGCTGGTTGGGGATGGGTGTTAGGCACGTCATTGGCCCACTCACTGTGTTGTGCGGCCTTGACGTCACCCTCGACACGTCCTTCGACACACGTCCAGCAACTCGACACAACCAAGGTCTCTGCATCAGCCACGCGCGGGCCTCGGCCAATGATGCAGGCTCGAGATGAGTCGAATTCTATGATCCAGATGTTGCTCACGTTCTCGATCTTCTCGCTGTCGCCTCGTCTTGCCCTGCCCTTTCTACTATACCTACCTACCTAGGTAGTATGGCAGGGTACTCATGGGTGTTTCTCTTCATGTGATTGGTTGAGGACTTGTCGTGATCAACGGCCTCTCAGAAAGCCAGAGAGCTACAAGCAATTACCTTCGCGCAAGATGAACTTTCGTGCCTCATGTGGGGTAATTTGTTCTTATCTTCTTTCATCGGGCCATTATGTGAACAGCTAGAGCCCATGAAATTCCAATGTTCACAGGCAGGAGGGAGCGGAGTCGACACTGCTGAAAGACATCCTCCACAAGAGCACCCTAACACATCCTATTCGAAGCCCATTATTGTCCATGATGAAGAGGCGGGCAAATCTAGCTCAACAAAATTATTTGCATCAGGCTCCTTCTGTAAATATCAGACCTACCTGATAGGTAGAGCAGTCGCCTTCGGTACCCTTCCCTTGCACAAGCATCGTGAGGATGTTGCTTACGTCACTTTTTAGCGTCTCCTCCCACATGGTCGACGCACCTTCAACGAAACGGCCAACTTTAACCATCTCGACCAGCCTCTGAGAGATTGGAATTACTATAATTGAGACATCATCATTGGGCCACTCAGACTCCTTTCTGTGGCAGACACGCTGAAGGATCCAGAATGCCGTCCATAAATCGAGGCCTTTCCGCTTCGCGATGCCTGGACGTTATCCGTCATCCGCAGAGAATGCTTGGACCCTGACGCAGGATGGTCAGCTACCTCTTGCTCTCAGGACTCGTCGTCCTCTACTGCGCAGTCGTGGCCATACGTCGCGTCTATTTCAGCCCATTGAGCAAGTTTCCCGGTCCAACCATTGCAGGTACGTGTCAACGAGCATCCGCAGACTGCAGCCATTGACAATGCCACCAGCTCTGACCACCTGGTATGCTGCCTATCATGACATTGTTCGCGGCGGCCAGTGCACCTTTGTCATCGAGGGGATGCATCGCAGATACGGGCCCGTCGTGAGGATCATGCCTGACGTCTTGCAGGTCAACGATCCAGCCTTCGTCGACCAGCTCTACGCCCCGCAGTCCTCGTCACACCGTCGCGACAAGGCCTGGACCGTCCTCAACTTCTTCCAAACGCATTATGCTTCCATCTCCACGGGACCCCAGGACCTTCACCGGCCGCGCCGCGCCGCCATGGGCCGCTTTTTCTCCCAGCAAAAACGTCCGCCGATTGACGCCCGTCCTTGACGAGACGCTCGCCGACCTCCTGCGGCGCTTTGAAGGGTTCGCGCAGACCGAAACGCCCTTCGCCATCAATCCTGCGCTGCAGGCTGCCACCAAGGATGTCATCCAGAACTATGCCCTCGGAAAGGGCGTCAAGTGCCTCGACCAGGAGGACTTCAACGCCGCGTTCTTCGCCGCCTGGCAGTCGTGGCGTCCGTGTGCGGGCGAGATGGGCGTGATGGCCAGTAGCGTATGAAGATGGAGCAGTCCGTAGTCAACAGCACCGACTTGCATGTGCCCGTTTCCTGGCAGGAATGTCTGTCCTTGTGCTGAAGGTGGTGTGCGCAGACCTCGTGTACATTGCGTCGCTTGCCAGCATCGTGGAGCACCACGGCAACTCCTTTCCGGGAGACGAGAGACGAGAGGCAAAGCTCAACCACAACGGAGGCCTCTGAGTACCTTGGATCAAATAGGCCACGATGACCGACGAGATTCACCTCCAGTCCCAAGGGCTGACCACGACTGCCGAGACATGGCAAAAAGCCCTCCACATGCAAGCCAAATCAATAGCTGTGCCTGTGGCTGAGGCGACAGAGCTTCCGTGCAAAGCTTTTAGAACGAAGCCAAACTCACGTTTAACGCATCTGGCTCACAGCAGGCAATGCCGAAGTGCCGAACATTCGTGGCGCTGTCGAATGACGAGTCGCGCTCCCGGCACAGCCTTACGACGCCGCACGCGTCCAAGGTACCTACCAGGTACCGAAGGTGCCTACCAGGTACCTTAGTATGGTAGGTACCTTGGGTAGGTAGCTCAGGCAGCTGCTGCCTTCCCTCTGCATTCGGCTGCACCACGTGTATGTGTTCGACTGCGCTGACGCCTGCACCATTCCCTACCACCCCCTCCCTCGTCTGTGCCCCTCCCTCGTCTGTGCCCCAGCCTCTCTCTCTTCAGCCGATACCCTCCTTCAGCCCTTGCACCCCCAGTTCCATCAACGACCGACTCATGACCTCGAACGGGAGGCACTTTTTATCTCCACTGCATCCCGGATGCCAAGACGACATCTCGGGAGCATGAATCTACGGACAGGGAGCGCGGTTCCGGGCACTGGCACTGTTTGACCAGAGCACTTGACGAGCGAAACGCGACACTCTTCTCGGATCTCACGGAGTCTTACCATGGTGCCTCGTGAGAACCCCATCGCCTTTGCCATGCAGACGACGTCACCTCAGCACAATCCCGCAACAGCGGCTTCGCAGCCGTCGGAGGAGCTGCCCCTCGAGCAGACTGGTCAGGACCCTGCCACCCTCCCCCTGTCAATTAATTCAACCAGAAAGACAGAAAAACGAAATGCTGTGAAGAGCGAGCACGCAGCTGACCGAGACACCAGAGAGACATGATTCACCCCACGATGCGCATGAGCATGAGCATGAGCATGGGCAGGAGACGCATCGCGTCGGTCGCAGCGGGCGCCTGAAGTCCAAGTCGAAGCACAAGCGCAGGACGAGCTCGTCGGCGTCGTCCCGGACGAGCAGCTCCTCCTCCTCCTCCGACAACGGCAGCCTCAACCTCAAGGACAAGGCCATCCGGAAGGCCAAGACGATCAAGCACAAGGCCGTCGCCAAGCTGCCCGGCGGCCTCGACAGGACCCCGCTGCCCGACGCGCCGCCGGGCTTCACCGTCAGGTTCATCTTCCACCGCGCCGAGCACCTGCCCGTCGCCGACCTGTCGACGTGGTCGTCGGATCCCTTTGTCCACGCCACGCTCAAGACGCCGCTCGTCACGCGCCATGAGGAGGACCCAGACCTCACGTGGCGGTCGCGCACCATTCGACGCACGACGAAGCCCGTCTGGGACGAGGAGTGGATCGTCGCCAACGTCCCGGCGAGCGGCTTCACGCTGAAATGCCGCATCTACGACGAGGACTACCCCGACTCGGACGACCGGCTCGGCAACGTCACCATCGACGTCGACGGCATCAGCGAGGACTGGCTGGGCGTCCCGCCGCCGGGCCGGGAGTACAAGGTCCGGAAACGGTCGGCGCACAAGGGCGTCTACCTCGTCCGCGCCCTCTACAGCGGCCACGACCACTACACGCCCAGCCTGTGGGTGAGCATGCAGGTGCTCGGCGTGTCGCCGCCGCCGCATGCCCAGATCTACACCGTCGGGCCGTCCATGTCCATCAAGCACTTCAGTCCGACGATTGGGCTGTTGACGGGCACGCGTGTCAATGTCAATGCAGACGACGACTATGAGTATGCCGACGTGGAGGAAGGGTGCCGCCACGTCAAGCACGCACAGAGATATGAGTGAGTGCCCCTTGAGCCGCCTTTGCCAGAGAGTAACCCACGAATCCACTGCTGACGCCGGCACAGCTTCCAGTCAAACGAGATGCAGCTCGCCGGCCCGGTGCCGCCCGAGCTGTACCACCGCTACGTCGAGTTCCGCCACATCATCGGCTCCATGTTCACGTCCAAGGGCCTCCGCGGCCGCATCCTCAGCCGCGCCCTGCACAAGCAGCACAGGCGCGTGTACCGCCACAAGGTCACGTCCGAGATCAAGCCCCTCACGCCCTGCACCGTCGAGGCGTCGACCGAGCTCCTGCGCCTCGCCCACTACGGCAACGGCGGCCGCCTCTTCACCTACGTCCTGACCCTCGACGGCCGCCTCCGCTTCACCGAGACGGGCAAGGAGTTCAGCATCGACCTGCTGAGCAAGCACACCATGCACAGCGACGTCGCGCGCTACGTCGCCTGCGCCGGCGAGTTCTTCATCCAGCGCCTCGAGCGCCCCCACACGCCGTCCTCCACCTTCTCCTCCTCCTTCGCTGCCGCCGGCATCCCCGCCGACGAGGACCGCGGCAGGGCGCGGTTCGCGAACCTCGCCATCTCGGGCATCGACGCGACGCCGGCCAACAGCCCGTCGTACTACCAGCTCATCATCGACAACGAGTCGGGCACCTACCGCCCGGACAAGTCGATCCTGCCCATCTTCGCGGCGTATCTGCGGCAGAATTTCCCGGGGCTCAATATCCGCACCATGGCCGTCGGCGACGAGGAGCTCGCGCGCCTGAAGAAGAACCAGGCTGACGTAAAGCATAACCGGCCCGGCGGCGTCAGGATTGTGCGCATGCGGAGTCCCAGCTCGAGTGGGAGCTCGTTTAGTTCGTGATGGTACGAGGATGAATATGGTCGCGAGATACTGTGATATAGATTGGATAATGTGCAAGAGTGCGACGAGTTCTGGAGGCCACTTTGTTTTTTCCTTTCTTGAGTTTACGTATGATACCTCCGGTTATGAATAGGCTAGAGTCCACTTGGTTAGAACCTGCCGAGAATTAATTCCTACAAAATCTGTCCAGATATTGAGACAACGAATGGATCCCTCGTTAGGGCCTGCTGAATACCGCTGACGCTGCCTCGTGCCTCGTCAACCGACGACCTCGGACTCGACGAGCAGGCAAGAGACGAATTGCGACACCAAGCGGCCTCCAAACCTCAACTCGACCGAAACACAGAAAAGCAACGCAGCTGACCATCTCCAAACGATCGGCGGCAGTCTCACACAGCAGCCCGGCGTAATCGACGTCATGGCGAACACCCTGCATCGGGCCAAGACATGTCAGTTCGCTTGGCGGCGTGCCAAGAGATCCTCCAAGCCTGCGGCTCAGCCTGCGCCCGCCCTCCCGGGCTCGATGCGGCTCATTTGGAATGTCGGGAATTCGACATACAATGATTGAAGATTAATCTGTCTGATATGAAGTTTGCGGGCTTCCATCGTCTTTGCTGCTTTCTCGAAGCCCTCTAGCTGTTGACGTACACCGCCTGGGCTTGAGAAGCCTACGACCTGGGGACGGACGGTCTAGTACAGAGACACTCACTGGTTCCTAGCTCAACAGCGTCACTCGTGGTCCCTGATTTCGCTTTACTTTGCTGTGCCTCGTATCGGTCACCAGACGACAATTCTTCCGACGATAGGTACGACGATGAAACGAACAATTTCCACAGCAAGCAGATCCAAAGCTGCAGCAAATGATGGCCTGGTCATGTGGTGGACGAAAAGACGCAAAAGTGCAGCTATATTCTGCTGACAGACGCACGATCTCAGCACTTCACAGCTTTGCAGCCCATGCCGCAGATAGATTGCTCATTTCAGCTTGCAGTGCATCTGGCCACTCTACAGCCCACGCAATACCACCTGCGGGGGCCCCTCCCCTGCAGCCAGGGACAAAGGCAAAAAGACAAAAAACAAGCATATCTCGGCGTCCGCCCCCCGCACAACCACCAAACGGCGATCTAGCCCCGGGGATCGGTTCCCCAAATGATCCCCTCAGGGAGACACATTGGGATACCCCGTCCCCCTCCCAGGCACCCCCAGGGAACAATTTCCCATGAATGGAAAGCCGTGAGGTGGGTCATCTAGATCAGCCCTGGCGCTGCAGCTCCCTCCCCACACCAGCCCGCCCGTTGCAGACGCGGCGCGTGGCGAGCTATGATGGATTTCCATCAATGATCGTGCTTGGCGTGGAGAAGGATCGGTTCCCCTGAACGGCTATCCGGCACAGCTAAATGCACAGCACTGCCCGGGGCCGCCGCCGCCGCCGAGTGCAGGGCTCCTCTTTTCGACGAGCTCTTGTTCTGTTCTTTGCTTTGGGAGACGAGGCTGCCATGTCGAGCGGGCTTGCCCGTTCTCACGCCCCCCCCCCCCCCCCCCCCCCCATCCTGCGGTGCCGAGGTCCGTGTGGTAGACTGCGAGAGACAAGCCTGACGTCCTAGTCTCCTCCGACCAGGCGTCGTCTGTGAGGGGAATCTGGGGGCGCCGGCGGGGGACCATGGCGGAGACGAGCCCAGGGGAAATAAGCACCCGAGGCAGGAGGAGAAATTCAACCCCGAAACGCGGCGCGCGAGGGGTTCTCGTGCCTGAGATCGGAGAGGTGAGGCAGCCAGGAAGCTACCGAGATGGATAGCTCCCTCCTCCGGGGAGGTGACGTCGAGATCGGACGAACGTAAAAGGGCGCTCGGCTGCGGCACGCTTCTGAGACCTCCCACCAGATCTTCAACCCTCAGGTCCAATCTCACAACCCCAAGAGTGCTCCAGATACCACACGATGAGATTCTCCTCCCTCCTGACGGCCCTCTCTGGGGTCGTGGCCGTCCTGGCCCTCGAGATCCCCGCCGGCGTCCCCCGCTCTCTCGAGGAGTTCAGGGTCAAGCACCCGTACCAGCGCCGCGGCGCGACCTGCAACCGCAAGACGGTCAAGATCCGCGCCTCCAAGAACGACACGGACGATGTGGCCGACGCCTTCCTCCAGGGCCTCCACGACGCCAACCACGGCGGCACCCTCTACCTGCCCAAGGGCGAGACCTTTGTCATCGGCAAGCCCCTCGACCTGACGTTCCTCGACAACGTCCACGTGCGCCTCGACGGCGAGATCAAGTTCACCAACGACACGCCCTTCTGGCAGGCCAACTCGTTCCGCCACCCCTTCCAGAACAGCATCATGTTCTGGAAGTGGGGCGGCAAGGACGTCAAGATCTACGGCGAGGGCGTCCTCAACGGCAACGGCCAGCGGTGGTGGAACGAGTTCTCCGGCCTCGAGATCCTCGACCCCGCCAACGCCTACCTCCGTCCCATTCTGTTCTACGCCGAGAACGCCACGGGCCTGCACGTCGAGGGCATCCACTTCAAGGACTCGCCCTGCTGGACCACCTTTGTCGTCACCTGTAAGTTTCTCCGTCCGCTGACTCGGGGGGTGGTTCCGATACAAGGAGAGTCATCCTGCTGACTCTTCTTTCTTTTTTCCTTCCCCATAGCCAAGGACATCTCGTTCAAGGACGTGGCCTGCACGGCCGAGTCCAACAACGCCACTGCTCTCCCCAAGAATACCGACTTCTTCGACTCCCTGAACGTCGAGAAGGTCCGCGTCGAGAGGGCCTGGGTCAACATTGGCGATGACTGCTTCTCGCCCAAGTCGAACGCCACCGACATTCACGTCGACACCATGTACTGCAACGGTAAGAAGAGGCAACGATGGCTGCTCGTGACAAATCAGCATGAAGCTGACTGACACCATGTCCAGGCACCCACGGGCAGTCCATGGGCTCCATCGGCCAGTACCAGGGCGAAAAGTCCTTCATCCAGGACGTTGTCATTGAGAACGTCTGGATGCTCAACGGCCAGGTAAATCCGCGTCCGCTGTTGCGTCTCTCACGTGAGTCACCTGCTGACATCCAGCGCAGCACAGCGCCCGCCTCAAGTCGTGGGCCGGTGAAAAGGCCGGCTACGGCTTCATCAACAACGTGACGTTCCGCAACTTCTGGAACGCCAACAACGAGTACGCCGCCTTCCTCGATAGCTGCTACTTCCAGATCAACTCGACGACGTGCGCGCAGTTCCCCTCCAAGGTCGACATCTCCAACGTTCTCTTTGAGAACTTCACCGGCACCACGAGCGGCAAGTACGGCCGCGCCGTCGCCCGCCTGACGTGCAGCTCGAGCCCCAACGCCGTGTGCGAGAACATTCGCTTCAAGGACTTCAACGTCCAGAGCCCCTGCGGCGGCCCGCCCGTCATCCTGTGCGACGGCATCAAGGACGGTGTTGGCGCCCCGTGCGTCTCGGCGACGAGCGACGAGGGCAAGGCCGCGCTCAAGGCCAAGTGCACGTCGCCTCTGGCGGAGCTGCCTGCTCGGCCGTGGTAAAGGTGTGATTCGACAAACCGAGATGCTGGACTGTCGCGGCTTCCTTGCGAGGCCAGACCGAGTGTGCCAAAAAGTGTAGCCAGCAAGTGGAGGCTATTCATCTGTATATATTGAGCAAGGGCATGTATCGCCCTGTTGTGAACATAATGAAGCAAATCGGAATTCTAAGCGGATATTGAGCCCAGCATCTGTAGTGTCGTGAACATGGCAAATCATCAAATGTACCCAAAAGACAAAACAAAGAGCTCCGGCGTCGCCTCGAACATGCACCTCTACCCACCCACCACTAGTCGCTCGACTTGCCTGGCATGAATCGTGACAGAAAAGAATTTGTCTTTTTCTTCTTTTTCTTTGGGTCGGCATCGTCAAGGATTTCCCGAGAGCCGCTTGCGCTGTCGTTGACAAAGTCCGGGCTCTGCGTGCCATCGCGCTGCATGTCGAGCCTGTCCATCTCCTGCTTCGTGTCCAGCTGATTCGTGTTGTCGTTCATGACCTGCTGCGCGAGCGAGACGGTATCGGTCCGCTGGGGCGGCGGCGGCGCGCCCTCAATCTGCGCTGGCGGCGGCTGGTCCTGGATGAACAGGTCCTTGACGGCGCCTTCGCCGAAGAGCCTGTCGTAGACGGCTAGCGTGGTGCCGAACTCCTTGCTGCCGCTGACCTTGATGGCGTCGAGCAGCTCGAGAGCGTAGGTCTGGCAGTTGTTCGTGATGAGGTTATACCGCGGCTGCCTGTTCCTGATGCTCTGGATGACCGACTCGCCTGAAGGGTCCGTGAGCTGATGCTCCCTCGCCATCACAATCACGAGGGGCAAAAAGGACTCACCGGCGCGGCGGACAGCGTCATCGTTGAAGCGTGTCTGGCCAACTTTGAATGTGCGCCACCCCTCCCTGGTGACCTTTTCATTCGTGTAAATGACATGGAAATTCTCATCCTACACTGCGTCAGCGGATCGACCGAGCCTCAGATGACGGAGATGGAACGAGGCCAACCCCTTGGACTCACCATCCACAGCTGATGCGCAAACTCGCCGACGAGTACAGCCCAGTGCTGCGTGGGATCCGGGTACGAGTTGATCTTGTCCGTGATCATCTTGCCCAGGCCCGTGTCCTCGGCGAACCACTTGCCGGCGAACCCGCCGACGGGGTGCCATGCTACCTCCACGGGACGCGGTTCGCCGTCGACGCGTGGTTCCGTGACAGGCACGACATTGGGCTGCTGGCCGAGGCCGGCGGCGCGCTTCAGTGCTAGCTCGCCCTTGGTCAGGTTCTTCTTGCTGTTGTGTCGCGTCAGTACGCAGATCCAGGGTTGTTTCGTGCTTGCCGCAAACGCAAACGGCACGGCGATGTGCTGAACGGGACGTTTGTGGCGGGGGTTGCGGGGTGTGGCCCAGGGGAATTGAGGGTTTCGCGCTCACAGAAACTCAGCGACTTTGTCCCGTTTCCTGTCCTCCCCGTCCACCTCTTCCACTGGCTCTTGCGACATGAGGAAGCGTGGGGTCGCGACTCGAGGCTCAAAGATTTTGCAGCGTATCAATTGGATGGGGAGGGGTTGCGGTGCCGGCAGGGCAGGTTGCTTATGGGTAATGAATTGGTGTAGGGCGCACTGCGGCTCTGACAAGTATTCAACGAGGCAGTCCCAGTCGGTGAGGGGGGGTCAGCGCGGGCAGCTACAATGGGAAGGCGAGCCCCTCCTCCCACTCCCCCCCCTGAGGCTGTTCGGGCAGCCGCGACGAACCCGAATAGGCCGGGTGCTGTTGCTGGCTGTAACTGGGCAAGACCCCCGATTACATAAGGCGTCCAAGTGCCGGACCCCAGCGCCTTCCACAACTTTCAGGGTCCAGCGGCCAGGGGTACTGGTGACGACATGGAGGCAAGACGGGACCCCGCCAGATCCTAAGAAGGAGGCCTCAGCGAAGTCACCATCTCAGCAGCGCCACTGTCTCACAAGATGCAGGCGATTCTGTCTCGTTTTTTTACTTGTCAAAACCCCCATCTCATTTGACGAGAAACGATCACTCCTCTCCCCGTCTGCCAGTCCCCAGGTGACACCAACCCGCAGGCGTAGAGTTCGACTTCATCAATCCCCTCCACCGCCCTCTACTGAATGTAGGTACCCGGGGGCGGATGGTCATTTTTCCTGTGAAGTATGCCAAGCGGCATCTTCATCCGAAACTTCACCGAGCGGTATATTTTCTTCTCTGTCTGTGGTGCAAGGGGAAGAGTCGTGTGGCCAGGTTCGTCGAGACCAAACTTCGTCCCGAATCCCTTTCTGTCTCATTGTTCTCTGTATCGCCGATTAGGCTTACCACAGTAGCGGACCGTGATCTGGCGGCGTATGAGACTCTTTGTCACATTTGGCAGCAGAGAATCGGGCAGCATGGTCATTGTCAGTGACTCCTGGCGGAGAATTCGGTTTGGTCAGCGGCATATGTCGAAGACAGCGGGTAATGCAAGTGACGCTGGAAAGATTATCAAGGTGGTCGTTCCGATCACGATTTTCTCTACATGACATCTTTCTGGCAGGGGTGCGCGCCAGAAAATGTCCATGTCCCCAGAGCTGTGCATCTTGTGTTTGATCTTTTCGTCTAGGTAACTTCGTCGACTGATAAGATCTTGGTAGACATGCTTGAAGAGCAACGAGAGGAGCCCTGATATGAAATACCTAGCGGACCATCTCCGCGAGGATGAGTTCCTCGGATGAGTTCCTCGCCGTGGTCTACCCGGGGAGCGTTCTTGCCCCAGTTGCTGAGGGGACCACAGCTCTTGCTACCGTCTGTACGAGACTCATTGCAGCTGGTGGGATAGTCTTCTTTCCCTTATTCCGGAACGGCGTTACTTGTGATGATAGACCTAGGTCTGGATAAACTCGCTGTCGGAATGTCCGCCCAGAGCTTGAAAGAAGTCTCGGCATTGGCCACGCCGCACATCCGAGGAGCAGCAGCAGAGTCAATCTCCACACGAGAAGGGTGCACTTGAGGGGTAGGAGAAGGGGTTGTGGTAGCAGCAAAGCCTGCATATGTCTATGTAGAAAAGATGGAGGGAAAAGGTATCTCAGTAGATGCCTTTATAGACGAAGGAAGCCAGAGAATCTGTCCATAGGCATTGGCCGACAAGTTTGATCATCCTCCCCGCAACTGGGTTATTCGACATTCACTTTGCGCCGCCATGGCTTTTTCCAGCATTGAAGCCTTCAAGTGATAGGTTCTCTCCAAGGGACGTAATGGATACATCAAGAGTAGTATTATAGGAGCATTCAGAAAATTCAGGGGCACAGTCGTACCCTGACATTGCGCTAAAACCGCCTCGTGATACCAAAGAGGTGCTGAGGAGGGCAATAGTGAGAAGTTGTACGCTTAAAAAGTAGTATTTTCCCATGCCTGTACACCTCTGGTGCTCTTTTCCCTTCTTCTACAAAGCTGGAAACCATCTGGTCCAGCCAGCAGGAAACATCGTTCGTGTTAAATGGCTCGCAAAGGTCATGGAGTTGGCTCTAGTGAATAATTTGATGGAAACAACAGTTGCCAGTGAAAGTGAATGATCCCGGCTTGACTTGGGGCTCCTGGTGCTATTCTATCGCACCTTATAAAGTCACTTTACTGTGGAAATTGTATGGCGACCAGTTGTCACTCTGCGATTGACTGAATCTTGAGCCGCCGAACAGTTCTGCAGCTGGAGCGGTCCTCTGGTCAAGAAAGCGCGGATGGCGTCTTGAAAAACAATGCGTACGATGGAGTTCGTGAAAAGGAGATCTTGAGCCCTCCCCTCGCATCGCCAGCCCTGCCGACGGGACTGCCGCCGAATGTGATGTCCAGACCCCCAGTGGCTGAGTTAGTGCTCTGTGCCACTGAAAATGTACCTACTTATAACGCCTGACGCACTGCATGCACCTGGAGGACCGGCACATGCGGGTCTGTGCTGTCTCTCCCACCAGAAACGTAAACCACCGCGCACACCATCACGCTGTTCCAGCAATGGGCAGCAGCCAGCTTCTGGCATTGCCACGGGAGCTTCGCGATTTGATACTCGGCTATGCTATCGCTACCGGGCGGCCGCCACCTAGCAGTGCCTCGGCGACGCTCGATCGAGTGCGCACGCTGGCCCATGATGAGAATGACCATCTCGAGAGAGCCAACCTGTTCTCGGAACGGTCCATTGACGCAACGGCCTGGAACAGCATCACCGTGTTGAACCTTCTCCTGACGAACCGCCAAATATGCTGCGAAACTCTAAAGCGTCTCAAGGGCCCTCTGACCTACCGACTCGACCTCATGCATGTCTCTGGCTCTGGTATCTGGCCCACCTGGCTCGCAGTGCCCATCCGTCAATGCCACATCGACACCCTCCATGTTGCGCTCCGCATCTCCGACCTCCCCGATGAAGGCAGTCCCGTCTGGAACAATACGCTCAAACGAAGCTCGTTGTCTCAAGCCCATGGTCACGCGTCTTACCTGAAGCACACCTACATATACCTCCTCGCCGGCTTCCTCCAGAAGGGCCCCCTCTCGCATGCTGCGTCCCGCCGCGACTGCAGAGCCGCGTACTCTGCCAACACCCTGATCCTTGACGTTGCGTCCCCGGAGCCCGGCACACATGTCAACCTCATTCCTAGCTCCTCGCAGCTCCCCTCCGTGGACCCGGTCGCGGCTGCCGAGCGCCTGGCAAGTGCCCTCGCCCGCTGGATCCGCCACGCCCTCGACGGATCGGGGAACTTTCTCAACGGCCACATCCTCTACCAGGGCTTCGGCTCCATCCACATACGCGTAGACGGCGAGGAACGCAAGATCTTTGACCTGACGGAACACTTCTGCCGCTTGCCGATCGACTCTGATGATGGCAGGTTCTGGCCGCTGACCTGCTTCCCGGACCGCGTGAGCTTCGAGGCGTGGGCGCATGGCACGGTGGAGAAGCGCAGGGCGCGAGGGTTGTGGAATGAAGACGTCACGAAGCGATTGATCGAAGAGGGCCAGCCGGAATGCGGATTGACGCTGCCCGGTCTGTGGATGGCGGTGTATGATGACCAGGAATACCGGCCGCTATGGGGACCTGCTCATCGATGATGGGTGCGGACTGTGCCCTTGCTGAGACGCTGAACTCGGGAAGAGGTGATCTATGAAGCCCTCGACGACGTGATTCTGTGACGAATTCATGTATAATCATTCGTACTCCGCCTGTAATCCCTGATTGGCCTGGCATGGATGTTTAGCTATAGCAGCATATCAGCTTGAGTGCCTGAACGCGTTTAAAATGTGAATGGGTCTCGCCAGCATTCTGACAAGAAGGGAAAAGCGCCCTCGAATTTACAACTCTCTGGCGGTCGCGACTCAAAGCACTTGGCAATCCAAATCGCTCTTGCCCGAGTTTTGAGCCCATACTACAGCTCATCATCGATTACTTGCTATTCAAAAATAGTCGTGAAAAGGGCATGAAGATGAACATGATGCAAGCAGTTTCCACTAAGACGACTTGGAAGTCGACCCAAAATTGCAAAACACATGTCCGCGATGAGGATCGAACTCATGATCTTCGGATATCTAAGTCTGATGACTCAGTCATATTAAGGAATATGAGACCGACGCTCTGACCAGCTAAGCCACGCAGACTTGGTTGTAGGAGAGAAAAATTTGTACAGTACTTGATTCCAAACAACAGAATATCGGACAAACGTCGCCAAGAATCCCACGATATCTCTGCGAAGTTCGCTTTTCTGACAATTCGGGGCCCCTTCTCGCAGCACTTTGTACAGTGATGTACCTCTGAAGCATCGTCAGGTTGGGTAAAAGTATACTTTGCCGATTGGTCTTGGAGCTACATCTTTGCCCTCGCCGCTTGTGAAAACACAACTTTATCCCTGTGCCAAGTGAAATGGTGGGAAGAATGTCTGATTGCTGCGCAATATTTGATACATATATGACGACAAGGTGAGGACTGCCCTCTATCTCGTTCAAGAAAACCGCATGTGCGGGCAGGAGCTCCTGCCGTCATCCCTGGGCCGCCGCAGGGGTCTGGCGAGCCAACCCAAGGGCAGGCAAGGCAGGTTCCTACTGCTGCCAGAAGGCGCAGCGTCGCGACAACAGACCCAGATGCCCAACCCGCGCTCCCCCGAAGCTCGATTGTGGTTGGGTCATGCCCGCACCGTTGGACATGTCTCAAGGTCCTGGAGACTCCAATACGACTTGACAAACAGTACATGGTCGGCACATGACCACAAGCTACCGCGTCCGGCCGTCGCTTCCGTCACCGGGGCACACCGGCAGTCATCCGATTGCTCGACACCTCTCACCGACCCCTGTTTCTCCTTCCCCGTTGCCTGGGCGTGGCGCCGCCGCCATCATTCTTTTTCCTTTACTCTTGCCTTGTCTCCACGTCAAACCGTCTCGCCTTGTCCGTCTGCTGCGGACACATATGCCTGCTATCACTCGTACTTGTGTCGTGGCTGGTGCTGCATGTCCGAGCGTAAGCACTCTCTCCCGGTGCACCTCCCAT